TTTTGATTATGATTAAAAAAGTTGATCCAAGATTGGAGCTCCCTTAGGGGGCCAAGGGAAAAACTTTTTGCTAATGAGAAAAAAATATTAGACCAAGAGTTTGTAATAGTTACTCAATTTCAATTAACAAAGGTGAAACTTTGACTATTTTGCCCTTATATCTTTTGGCCACAAAACATAAAATATTCCATCGGAAATTCCAAATGATCCATTATGGGCAAGTAGCTTTCTTTAATTATAGTTAGTTGACAAAACACTATCGAGATATCATTATTATAATAATAACTTCAAAGTCCATCTTCTTAGCTGCCTCCTCATTAGAGCCGCCACTAAAATAAGACCGATCAAATAAAAGCCGCCATTAAAATATTGAATTTTAGGACTCTCAATTGTCACGTAAGTGCCAAAACTCTTCCAATACTTTGCTGCAACTTGGGGCTGCTAGCTTCTGAGCTTCCGGATATTTCTAAGTTTATCTCTTAATTTACATCTCAACTAATATGAAGAAATTAAACAGGTGCAGCATATCATAAAATTTTGCTCTAAAGAAGACAATGACTCCGGTTACTGATTCATTGGCCTTTTCAGAGTCTGCATGCCATATTTACTAACGGGTAGTTTGGTACAAGAAATAATGATAATAATTTCGGCATAGAATTTGGGATTTAATTTATCCCATATTTAATTATTAATATTAGCTAATTTCGGTTTGAGACTCTTATGGAAGGCGTTGCCTTCGAATTAGATTCTCATCCATTGCTTTGGTGCAATAGCAACATGACATCCTACTCTTAGAACTACTTTTAAATGAAAGTCATATAGAACTTTCAAATCTCTCAATTACTTTTAAGGGAATTCAATACGACCAATATTTATTACTTACTTATGGTTAAATGATATATATTTTATTGTGAATTTGAATTGGAAATATTAAATTACTTGGTTTAATATAAACAATAGATGTCGCTAAGTATTTACCACAAACATTTTATTAGTTGTAACGATGATTAAACAGCAATTCCTTTGGTTGTGCGGGATGAAAGAAACTAACTAGCTATAATTTCTTTTGTAAAGTCAAGATAGTACGCACCTTACGGAGAAAATATAAAACTTGTACATCTTTTTCCCACAAAATGATCAAGTTGACATGTTAATAACCAGGGTCACCCGGGGCGGCTCTTAACTTCGTTAGCCTACGAATAACAAATACTCCAATAATATTCCACTCGAATATTATATTTACACAAGGCTATCTCAATATAAATAGCTCGTTGTTCATCTTAATTCTCCCAACAAGTCTTCTCATCATGTCTACCTCACATAAGCATAATACTCCTCAAATGGCTGCTATCACACTCCTAGGATTACTACTTGTTGCCAGCAGCATTGAGATAGCAGGTTTCTTGTCAAATATTTGAAATTCCCAGCCAAAAATATTGTCTTATAATTTTGTGTGTGCAAAATTTTTATTTAGTTGATAGTTATTTGCTTATTTTTCTTTTCAAATTGCTTGTGTTTTTTTCTCAAATTAACTTGCACCATATTCATTTAGCGATAGTTATTTGCTCTCTCTTTCGGGTAACACTCACTCACAAGCTTTTCCAATTTGAGGGGGAGGGCGGTGAATCCAAGATTTGAAATTTATGAGTTTAGACTAGTCTCCATTTGATTTATTGGCTAGATGTCTATTATTTTTATAGTGAATCTTTTAACACATACACTGATCTGAGTCAAAGCTACTAGGTTCGTATTAACCCATAACATATACACCCTATGTTCTAATTTATGTGACACACTTTTTGTTAGTTTGTTCCAAAAAGAACGACATATTTGATATTTGAAAACACTTTAACTTTGAACATTTCATTATAACCTTAATGAGAACTTTTTAAAGCAACATAAATATTATGGAATATATAAGACAACAATTTCCAAATATCTTATGGTCGTATCGTACAAACATTATAGCATGTTTAATATCACAACTTTCAAATATTCTTTTCCTTAAAAACAAACTATGTCACATAAATTAAAATAGAGGGAGTATACTACATTAATCAGCCCCTAGTGGAGGGTACCTACTGTAAGTTTTTAAGTTTCAAGAATTCTGTAATTGATTAAGAGCCCGTTTGGACATAAAAAAAAATCTTTTTTCCAAAATTTTTTTATTTTTTCTGAAATCAGCGTTTGTTCATAAAATTTTCAATTTTCACTTGAAGATGCATTTTGGAAATTTTTCAAAATTTAAAAAACTCCAAAAAGCTGTTTTTCATAATTTTCACTCAAATCACTCACACAACTTCAAAAACAACCCAAAATTACCATTTTCACTTGAAAAAATTTTTCACCATATTTTGAAATTTTACAATTCTTATGTCCAAACGCCCACTAGGTTTCTAACACTATTTTCTAATTCTTATGAGCAGGGGCTCAATCAATAGGTGTTTGCTATGGAATGCTCGGCAACAATTTGCCAAACCATTGGGAAGTTATACAGCTCTACAAGTCAAGAAACATAGGAAGACTGAGGCTTTATGATCCAAATCATGGAGCTTTACAAGCATTAAAAGGCTCAAACATTGAAGTTATGTTAGGACTTCCCAATTCAGATGTGAAGCACATTGCTTCCGGAATGGAACATGCAAGATGGTGGGTACAGAAAAATGTTAAAGATTTCTGGCCAGATGTTAAGATTAAGTATATTGCTGTTGGGAATGAAATCAGCCCTGTCACTGGCACATCTTACCTTACCTCATTTCTTACTCCTGCTATGGTTAATATTTACAAAGCAATTGGTGAAGCTGGTTTGGGAAACGACATCAAGGTCTCAACTTCTGTAGACATGACCTTGATTGGAAACTCTTATCCACCATCACAGGGTTCGTTTAGGAACGATGCTAGGTGGTTTGTTGATCCGATTGTTGGCTTCTTAAGGGACACACGTGCACCTTTACTCGTTAACATTTACCCCTATTTCAGCTATTCTGGTAATCCAGGCCAGATTTCTCTCCCCTATTCTCTTTTTACAGCACCGAATGTGGTAGTACAAGATGGTTCACGCCAATATAGGAACTTATTTGATGCAATGCTTGATTCTGTGTATGCTGCCCTCGAGCGATCAGGAGGGGCATCTGTAGGGATTGTTGTGTCCGAGAGTGGCTGGCCATCTGCTGGTGCATTTGGAGCCACATATGACAATGCAGCAACTTACTTGAAGAACTTAATTCAACACGCTAAAGAGGGTAGCCCAAGAAAGCCTGGACCTATTGAGACCTATATATTTGCCATGTTTGATGAGAACAACAAGAACCCTGAACTGGAGAAACATTTTGGATTATTTTCTCCCAACAAGCAGCCCAAATATAATCTCAACTTTGGGGTCTCTGGTGGAGTTTGGGACAGTTCAGTTGAAACTAATGCTACTGCTTCTCTCATAAGTGAGATGTGAGATGAGACACTTGAAATCTCTTTACATAAGTATTACTTGGATGGAAAGACTAGTAAAAACAAGAGAAAATTTTTCTTAATGCAAGACAGTAAATAAAATTGCACGTCTCTGTGACTCCTCATGAATTGTTATCCAGAGACGATGCAACTCTGAGTGGTTTTAAATTCCCTTTCTTTGTGATATTGGTAATTTGGCAAGAAACTTTCTGTAAGTTTGTGAATTTCATGCACCATTAATTATACATCAGTTCCATGTTTGATCAGATTGGGATTTGGTAATTTCAAAGTTTAGTTATTTATTAATTAGTGTCTTTATCATTTGACTCGACCAATTAACCTTTATTTGGCAAGGCCTGATATATCTGAGCTACTCTTAGGTAGTGGCATGCAACTGATCTTTCTTTTATCCCATGTCTCCGTTAACCCTCATTAGAAATATATTATAATTTCACTTACTCTGTGGTTTAAGCCATTCCCTTACATTATAAGGTATTTCACGTCGTATCAAGGCCGAAAAAAATAATGGTACGCTATTTTTTATCACAAATTTCTCTCAACTTCTAGACCAATTGAATCTTGTCTCCAATAAGCATTGCTTTTACTCTATGTTTCTCTCTATCAATTCAAGGCTCATTCCATCAAATCGCTTGGTATTTCTCGCTCCCAATTAACCAATCAAGCTGTTAACTCTGCTAAAGTCTCCTTCTTCAGCTTTTTAAACCACTCAGAGCTTCTCCAACAAAAAATGTAGAAAAATCTTTGATCCACATGTAAAACCCCAGAACCATGTCATTCGAGGGAAGGAAGGTGCTGGAAACGCGACGATCAAACACAGATTTGTCAGCTAATTGTCATAGGAAAAAGAAAAGTTGATCAGATAGTTCGTGCGGGGGAATTTCCTATCTCGCCTTTGATCATAGCTTTAGGCTTGCGAAACTATGTTTGGCCCGAGGCCCTAGCTAATCCGTAAATCTGAGAAGCATACCACAACAAATGGGATAGCTTCCAGCTAAGAGATCTATTTTGATCTTACCCACTAACAAGCTCCGTGTGAATTGTCCATTTCATCAACTCCAAAGGCAGGAAAGAAGACTCTATTGAGAGAGCAGCAAAAGAGCTCTACTTGCCTAGCGAGGGTCTAAAGCCATAATGTTGGCCTAACTGATTTTGGTTTTGATGATTGTCAAAGGAACACATGCATGAAATAGGTCCATGGACAGTGTACACAGGGCATGGTCAGATTCAAGCAAAAGGCATGCACGTGCAAGGGATACGTATAAGTGGTTATATCTGATAATCCCTGAACGAAAAGCTTGCATAATCAATAAGAAGCAGGACTCCTTACTTGAAGAAAACTCTGTCCTAGATAAGGAAAGAGTTATAGATTGAAGTTAACTAGAACTCTTCCACCAAGGAAGAGTAAATCATCAGGTTTCTAGTTAATACTAATCTTACTAACGCTATATATATATATGATTATGTTCTCTTTTACAGGTGACGCACATACGCAAAAGTTAAGCAAGAATTGAGAGCAAAATAGAAAGGCATTTTGCAAGCAATTCCGGTGTGTTTCAAAAGTGTGAACCTAATGCTACATGAACCAAATAGAAAAATCAGTTCCATGTGTCTGTCCTTTATTCTAGTTCAATTGTAGTAGGACTTTTCAGTTGTACCTTTCGGCTTTCTAAGAAGCAAATTGTAATAGGTACTTTAGTTGTATTGTTCAAGTTAGAGTTAACTTGAAGCCATCGCAAGCCTGTGGATGGTTGCTACAAGGGTTAGAGGTAATCCTTAGGTTTACAACATTTTTGTAAATATTGTTGTTTGGCTCAGAGGTATAGTGAAGTTTTGGGGAAAATCCTACTAGAAAATAGGTCATGGTTTTTTCACCTTTTGAACCAGGTGTTTTTCACGTAAAAGTACTCGTGTTCTCTACTTTTTGCATTATTTATTCTGCAACAGTAGATTAGTGAACCAGGTTCTTCTATAAATTACTGCGCCACACAAAGCACCCCACGTCGTGTGTGGTATTGAAGTATAAAATATCAATTGGTATCCGAGAGGGTTATCCTTGAAGAGGCAAACACCTTAGGAAAAGATCAAGTGAGTGCACCACCTGGAAATTGGCAAGGGTAATCAACTGCTAGGTCACCACTCTTCAGTGGCCAGTATTACTCTTGGTGGAAAATAAGTATGAGAGATCACATATTGCAGGCAGAAGACTGCGAGCTATGGGTCATAATTACTGATGGTGAACTGCTTACTTCGAAGAAAAATGTTGAAGGATAGGATGTGCCAAATACAAGAGCTGATTGCAGTGCTGAGGACTTGAAGAAGTGGGAGAAGAATGTCACCAAGAAATGGCATGTGTGTGGACTTGATCTAGATGAGTATAGCCGAATCCAAGACTTCTCCACTGCCAAGCAAATATGGGATACACTGCAGGTGGCCCATGAAGGAACAACTCAGGTAAAAAGATCAAGAGGAACCTTGTTGTTTTCTCAATATTAAAACTTTTCCATGAGAGATGGAGAAACCATTCAGGAAATGTACACAAGGTTCAGTATATTGACAAATGAAATGATGTCTCATGGAAGTATTATTTCTGAAGATGACAGGGTTGAGAAGATACTAACCAGGGTTTTACCAATCACATGGGAAAGCAAGATCACTATCATTCAGGAATCAAAGAATATTGCTACACTTCCTTTGGACGAGTTGATTGAAAATCTCAAAGCTTATGAACTTAGAAGGAAAACCATGAAAATGGATATGCCTAAGGAGGAAAGGAGTCTGAAAATCAGAATTACTGAAGGTTAGTAGCGTGGTCCTAACCATCCTATCCAGGTTGTCTTACATCCCCCCTCAAGCTGGTGGTGGGGTGGCCAACATCACCTAGCTTGGTTCGTAGCGCCTGAAACTGAAATTTTGGCAAAGGCTTGGTGAAGATGTTTGCTATTTACTGTAATGAAGGGACAAACTTGGTCACCATGGCACCTTGCACACTCTTTTCCCGAACGAAATGATAATCAAGTACGATATGATTGGTACAAGCATGTCGCACTGGATTAGATGTAAAGGATTGATATTATCTGTGAAGAACAATTGAGGTTGAGATAATGAGATACCGTCTTTGAACAAGTAGGTGATCCATGTCAAGTCTATTGCTAGAGATGCTAAAGAGGAATATTCAGCTTCTGCACTAGACTTGGCGACTGTATGTTGTTTCTTTTAGGACCAGCTAATGCAATTTTATCCAAGGAAATCACAAATTGCTGATGTGTATCGTCTGGTAATGGGGCATCCAGCCCAATCAGCATCAGAAAACCCAACTAGATTGAGAGATGATTGGGGGGATAGGCATAGGCCTAAGTCTAGAGTCCCACCAATATAGCAAAACACCTTTTGATTCCAGTCTAATGGACATCAGTAGGATGCTGCATGAATTGGCAGAGCAAGTTAACAGCATGAGAAATCTCAAGTCGAGTTAACGTCAGATACTGCAAAGCTCCAACCAAGCTGCGATATTTAGAAGCATTGACAAAAGAACTAGTGGAGTCATGAAGATGATGTTTCCAGGAGAGAGGAGTGGGATGAGCTTGATAGTTTGTTGCTATGCCAAAATAGAAGACTAGGAGTAGGGAAAGAAAACAAGTCTTGGAGGTAAACAATTTAACCTCTTACTTATTGAGAGCAAAATTGTACTCTAAAAAAAATGGTAAGTAATAATTAATTAACTTATATATTATATGGATAAGAATATCTCTATATATACAGTTTAATCCATATCTTTTACAAACGAGTTTATTTCTATAGAGTAATGATTTAAAAAATAAATTCACTATCATGTCACCTAAACATAGTTGCATGTAATTCTAACAAAATATTGATTGATAACCCAATATAAATGATAAATTACTTACTATAACAAGTTAAATTACATAAACAAAGTATTTTCTAATATTTTATTAGTACACATAATTTAAATCCAAAAACTTACTTGGTCAAAAATTATGCTAGTAAGACCATGAATAGTGCCCAAGTCAATTATACTGTTACGGAGAAAGAGCATTTTGCTATTGTGTTTGCTATTGAGAAGTTCCGCTAGTACTTGATGGGTGCCAAAAGGAATCTAAAGCTCACTTGATGAGATGGGTGTTTTTGTTGCAAGGATTTGATATTGACATCCAAGACAAGAAGGAAAGTGAAAATCAAGTGGTGGACCACTTGTCTCGTTAGGAGGAGGAGGGGAGGCCATATGATGGCCTTGAAATCGATGACACTTTCCCCAACGAGCAACTTTTGGCACTTTCAATGAAAGAGGTACCGTGGTTCGTAGATTTGGCAAATTTTCTTATGAGTGGTGTTATTCCGGATCGTTTCCCTTCAAACCAAAGAAAGAAGCTCAAGAGGGACTATTAAGACTACTATTGGGATGAACCATACCTTTTCTGGATTTTCACGGATGGGGTGATTCGTAGGTATGTGCCGGAGGAAGAGCAAGGTGATATTCTTGGGGCTTGTCATTGTTCACCATATAGTGGTCATCATGGTGGAGCGAGAACAACGACTAAAGTCCTATGTTGTGGTTTCTTTTGGCCTACTCTCTACAAAGATGCAAATGAGTTGGTGAAAAGATGAGATGAATGTCAACATGCCGGTGGAATTTCAAAGAAACATGAGATACTTCTTACAACCATCTTGGAGATTCATATTTTTTATGTTTGGGGTGTTGACTTTATGGGCCCTTTTGTGAGTTCTTGTGGAAACACCTACATTTTGGTTGCGGTGGATTTTGTCCAAATGGATTGAGGTCGTTGCCTTACCCAATAATTTGGCTAGAAGTGTGGTGGCTTTCTTGAAGAGAAATATTTTTACAAGATTTGGTACTCCGTGAGCAATAATAAGTGATGGAGGGTCACATTTTTTCAACATGGCTTTCGACACTTTACTTGGAAAGTATGGTGTTACTCACAAAGTGACAACTCCCAATCACCCACAAGCTAGTGGTCAAGTTGAAGTCTCCAATCGGGAGATAAAGAGTATTTTTTTCAAGACAGTGAATGCAAATCGGGTGGATTGGTCTAAGAAGCTTGATGATGCTCTATGGGCATATAGGACGGCTTACAAAACACCTATCGGAATGTCCCCATACCAGTTGGTGTTCGGAAAAGCTTGTCATCTTCCGATGGAACTAGAGCACAAGGCAATGTGGGCCTAGAAGAATTGAATCTTGATTGGGATGTAGCCGCTAACTCGCAAGTTGCACACTTGAATGA